GCACCCCTCCGGAACCACCATGGAGTGTAGGCTTGAAATCACTCAAGTCTCTCCTCCATGACAGATTAGAAGGGGCAATGTCTTGAAAATTGAAACAAGCCCAGAAGTGGCTCCTAAATTAACAAAGCAGCACTGGAGAATAAGGGGATTTGAAGGTGGATCAGTAAGGGAAAACATAGGCAAGGGAACAGTTTGTCTAGAGCATTGAACTATGGACTAATTTGTGGGGGGCGCTAATGAAAGACTTTCCCACGGGCGCCTAATTTTTTACCCAAATAGAGCTTTCTTTTGGTGCTATTTGATCGCCGCTGGTTTTTATTTATTTCATTTTTTTATATAAATGAATTTAAAAAAATCGTGGGAAATAAATATTTTCTACTTTTTGTTATACAAAATATCAAATAAAATCAAATTTCTTCATAAAATTAGGCCAACATTTATTCTGCTAAATGTTTTTGGTATAAAAAAAAAAATCCCAATAAGTGTATACTAGGTGATTTGTGTGAATTTGTACCAATTATAAGTCTTTTGAAAACATGGTTTTTATCCATATGGTGTCGAACAACAAAATCGGTATTGCTCAGGGTAAAGGATGGTTTAGGAATGATATGGCTGGTATATTTTTTTCAAACCTTTGTGTGTCTGCTAGATAAAATCTTATCATTTTATGATTTGAGGAAGCTGAACCCCCCCCCCAGCAAAAAAAATTATCTACGGCCCTGGTTGAGCCTATATTGATCTGTGCAGATCAACGCAGCTCAACTGAACTGCTGCCAAGGAGGCCTTATTGCTTACTAGTCCATCAAGAAGTTATGTCTGCTGTTTAAAAACCTGTTAGACACACGTAGGATTAGGAACTGTTGTAGTTGTAGTAGTCTGTAATTTACATTCAGAATGCTGTTCATTTACATATGATTTCAAATGTCTGACCTAGCAACCTGCAGGCTGTGTAATTATTAAGTGTTTTGACAAACCGTTACCTAAGGCTGCTCTTATCTAATTATACCTTCAACCTGTCAATACTGATGCTTCCATTTCTCAGGTCTCTTAATAAAGTTTGTTGATAGCGCCAAACTGTCCAAATTTACATGCTATGTACAGCGAGCATGTGGGAGCTATACATTTACCTTACTAAGTGGGAGGCCGCTTGATCGTGTCAGAAATCTTGTGAGGCGATAACTTTGTCTGCTCTCTGCCTGTGCTGCATTTTTTATCTGTCACATTGTTCTCTGTTAACTTTGAGAACTGCAGAACCCTAAAGAAGAGGGGGAGGTTTCTATAGTCCTGTTGTGTTCCTGTTGTCATGACAGAGTAGGGTAAGCGTTGTCACCCTAGGACAGGAAGTGAAATACTGGCAGAATCACCGAGTGAAAATACATTGGTGATCAGTGAAGTGCCCCCTTACATTGGTGATCAGTGAAGTGACCCCTTACATTGGTGATGAGTGAAGTGCCCCCTTACATTGGTGATCAGTGAAGTGCCCCTTACATTGGTGATCAGTGAAGTGCCCCTTACATTGGTGATCAGTGAAGTGCCCCCTTACATTGGTGATCAGTGAAGTGCCCCCTTACATTGGTGATCAGTGAAGTGCCCCTTTACATTGGTGATCAGTGAAGTGCCCCCTTACATTGGTGATTAGTGAAGTGCCCCCTTACATTGGTGGTCAGTGAAGTGCCCCTTACATTGGTGATCAGTGAAGTGCCCCCTTACATTGGTGATCAGTGAAGCACCCCCTTACATTGGTGGTCAGTGAAGTGCCCCCTTACATTGGTGGTCAGTGAAGCACCCCCTTACATTGGTGGTCAGTAAAGTGCCCCCTTACATTGGTGGTAAGTGAAGTGTCCCCATTAGCAGACAGGGAAAGCAACGGAAACTGACAGGTGACCTGTTGAACATTATCACTGGAGGTAAAACAAAATCCTACATTTTGGGTTGTCATCAGAACAGGATTAGATGGGAAATCTTCCAATCGGGACACCAGTTCTGGTGACCCAGCAGGTATTTCCTTCTATTTGGAGGGATTTACCCTCACTTCCTGTTTTGGCTATCACACAGGAAATGAACGGGAATCTCTCCACAGGTGGCAAAAAAGCTGACAGTGGTTATAACTCTCACTTTTTCCAAATCTATAAACGTTTTGGCTTTAAATTCAACCATAAACCATGCAATGTGTTCTTTTTTAAAACGTGGTATAAAAATAAACTAGTGGTGAATAACAAGTCATTAGTGCCTTTTACCAATCATACTATCACATTAGTGTGCAGAGGATGAAATGCACCCTCACCTATCATAACTTTGTATTTTTCCTCATGCAATATTTAGTATTTATTACTTCTCTACACACCGGAGCCTCCTGTAAAGTCAGCTTGGTATAATCTCAGTTATGGATCCCCCTGCAGTCAGTGCCAGGCTGTACACAACAGATATGGAGTTACATTGTAACAGTTCACCCCCCACCACCTTCATCAAGATGTGCACTCAGCTACGTCCCATCAGCGCTCTCCGGCCCCTTCCAGTCTGTCCACTGCCAGCAGGCGCTTCTATTCTGATACTTACGGCCACAATAGTTTTCTGTTGCCTAAACTTTAGTGAGCAGCAGCAGCAGGTTTAGTTAGAATGTGAGAGTGAGAGAGGAAGACAGAGGGGTGTGTAGGAGACAGGCAGCCTGCCAGCCAAAGTATAGAGGAGAGAGAAGGGGGGCGAGATGTGACCTATACTCCACCGGTGGCTGCAAGGCTCTAAAACGGGGTGCAGCCATGGGCTGCAAGGCCAGCAGAATGTGCTGCCCTAGATCCAGGAACAAGGTAAGAGTATTCGAGTACTGTTACTTCTTCTGTCTCTTCCTGCCTGCACAGAAGACGAGTAATGGGCAGATCTGAACCTTTCAACTCTCCCTGACTCTGATGCTCACATGCCCATTGTCATTGATTTCTTGGGGATAGTTCCAGTGTTGAAAACTTTGTACCTGGAAGTGTCAGCAGTTCATGAATCTGTCCCATGATTGTTAGTGCATGCTTCAACTTACATAGTGCATTGAAAATTTTAAGTATCCCCTCTAAACATATATTTACTTTCAAAAACCTGCCGTAACTACAACAATTTAAAGACAGACTTTAAAGTCGGCCATACCAGTAGAAGTTCATTGGAAATGTTTAGTTTTGGTTAAAGGTGGGGTCTAATTGATCTTTTTTCACCATAGCGACGAGGAAAATCAAAAGAGCAGGATGGAAATGTTTTCTTGTCTCTCATCTAAAGCTGACCATACACTACAATACAATCTGATTGCACAATCTCCTTTAGATCTGCCATTAACCATATAGTACAAGGGCCTGCCTGATTTGATCCAATTTGATTGGATTGCTTAGAGGCGTCCTTATTTTACATACTTTTGGTAACTCTAAAGAAGACTGTACAGAGGTTGTACAATAAAATTGTATAGCGTATGGCCGGCTTAAGGCCCCCAAAGCTTCCTGCGTTTGTTTCACGTCAGTGTACGGCAGCCTATTCATTCCAATAGGCTGCCATATACACGTTAAAGAAGATCATGCAGCAGTTTAAGCTGTGATCTTGGTGCACTCTTTCTTCTTCTTCTTCTTCTTCTTCTTTTTTTTTTTTTTTTTTTTTTTTTTTACAAAAAAAAAAAAAAAACAACTAAATTATATTTATCTGTAAAGAAAATGTTTTATTGAAAGTCTTAAATACCACCACCGTAATTAATATGCTTTACATTAGTTGGAGCTCATTGCAGGGCTAATCTGCCATATTACCCAACTGTAAATTTTTTTTGCTTTTTTTTTCTTTTTTTTTTTTTTTTTTTTTTTTTTTTTTTTTTTATTCATTTTACAGTAAAACAAAACAAGACACTAACATAGTGTCATAGTTGTACAGTACAATTAAAAAGTACAAATAATCAGGGCAGAACCGACCCAGTCCCAAAGAAAAAGAGAGACTGAAAGTCAACACCCCCCAAGGCATTCCCAACATTGTTTGGTCACTAGTTCCCCCCCCCATGGTGCACTTTTTGACTGCACAGCTAGAGTGGCATTGGCAAATACTGGCATAAAAAAGTGCATAATGTTGCATGTGTTCACACGCGTTCTGGGTGTAAATGGGATCTGAGCAAACAAAATTCTAACCGTGTATGTGATTTTCATACGGCAAAAGTCATACATATTGTGCGCACATGATAGGCAGTAAAGAAGCCTTTTTAATATGCCTGAGATTCTGTGGAAGTAGCCGGACTTTTGAACAACATTAGTTGACTCAATGAGGGCATCATCCAATGTTCAGACTAACGATGTGCGTGAACCCAGTTCATCCAAACCCACGCAAAACTGTGACTGCCACTCCCCCTTACCAGCCCAATCAGTTGCGGTAGGGACATTCCCCTCTCCTTTGTGATGTGTGGCTGCTGGAAATGCCCCGGCTGCAACTGATTGGACCAGGCGGGAGGTGTGTCAGTCAGAGTTTTGCTTGGGCTCGGGCAAACTAGGTTCATACCAAGCCCCTTCATATCACTGGTTCTGACGAACGATTTCAATTACAGTGGCGTCACAAGGGGGGTGCGGCCCGGACCGGGCTGACCCCAAAATAACATGCGCGATGACGTCACGGCGGGGTGACACCCAGCCTCCGCTGTGGCTGACACCCGGCCTCGGGACGCCCCTGACAGTGAATGGTCATTTGAAGACTGAATGAAAGAATTTTAAAAAGTTTTCTAGGGACACATTGCTGATAATCCAGAAGGTACATTATAAATCCCGTTACATCTTCATAAGTACATTGACTTTTGCTTGATGCGTTTACCATTTAAAGCAAACATTCATATCAAGCATATCGGTGCATACCATAAGGCCTTGTTCACACCAAGCGCGGAGCAGGTGCAGAGCAGTTACAGACCGGATCAAAACTGCGTCCAATGTATTCCAATGGTATTTTTTGCTCCAGTTCACATCGCAGCGTGCAGTTCCAGAGCAGGTAAAAAAAACTGCAGCAGGCCCTATTTTACCTGCTCTGGAACGCATGCAAACGCATCAAAAATGCATGTAAGCGCCCTGGAACACACTGAAAGCCCATTATAAACAAAACATTTTTTTTTTTTTTTAACCAAAAACGGCCCGAAGCGCATCAAAAACGCGGCACAACCCACTGCACTGCGTGGGCAGAAACCTGAGCAGATCTGCTCTGCATTTGGTGTGAACAAGGCCTAAGACGTTGTCAATGCATGTCTTGATGCATGTCGGTTCATCACCATACACGTGAACACTAGTGATGAGTGCTGGGCTTGGTGTGAACCCAGGTGCCCAGAGTTCACCCAAGCTAAGGCAAAACTATGACCGACAATCCCAATTGATGGTGGCATTTGCGGCGAGGGTATTCACTGCCCATTTGTCACATGTGGCTGGGGTGGGGAACGCGACTCCCCACAAATGATTGAGTCCGCAGGATGGGGTGGAGGTCACTGTTTTGAGCAGTCTTATGTGAACTTAGACGGACTGGGTTTGCACCAAGCTCAGCCTCACCTCTAGTTCTAATGAGTGTCGACATGCAATATAAAGTGGTCATGTGCTGAAAGAAGACGTAATAACGCACGTTGACAAATTGTAACTCGTGTGTTTTGATGCGTTTCTATTTATTTCAATAGAAAATGCCTCGTGGCTGAATGACCACATGGCTGTGGAGACTATAATGCATTTTGTGTCATTTCATGTTTTGGGTTATTTTTGTACCTGAAAGTAACATTTGTTGACTTCTGTGTTTTTACTTCCTGTGTCATATGTTCATGAGTTTTTATAGACGCATGATTGTAAAACATATTTTGCAATCCTGATAAACAAAAGCCATAGCCTGACCCTTCTATAAACTGTCATTCACCTCTGTCCTACTCTTTGTCTGTGTACAGCCTTAACAGTTGTGTCCTTAGGACTGCACAACATTCATCTAAATGTGTTCAACAGTTCACCTGTGCTATGTGACTGTGGCGCAGAGCCATGGAGCTGACATAAGCAGAGTGTCGTACAACATTTCATTTGTAAGTCTGTTTACCCAGATGCCCAGAATACTGAACTTGGCGCTAGAATTTATGACACTTTAAAGGCACAGTCCAGCTTTTGCACCCACATTGGAAAAAGAAAAACATGCGGATTTGTTAATTGTTGGTGCCGCAGAGCATTACAACCATGATGAGTGGAATGTGAGTGCAATACACAGGCTCTTGCAGATTATTCCTCCAGTCTCAGATCTGTACGGAGGTAGGATCTTTATGGGCTGTAGGAAGCAATCCTACAAGGGCAATTGTGTTTCATTTTGATCTACAATTCTCCCTGCTGAGCTGGCAGATGGACTTGTAGTCTGTCCATTCATAGATCTCTGTGAATTGATCTGTGATTGGATGGTGCGGAGCCACGCACAGTCGCGCCGATTGGATAAAATACAGGAATCTACTGGAATACGCACCCCGCAATTCAGGTAAGTGGGGTGATTTGAGGGTTGGTCAGTGTGGTCAGATGACCTCGCTAACCAGTGAGTGCTCAGCATTTGCAAGTGAAATTTGAAATGCATACCGCAGGGCTGTAATCTGTGTACATGGGGGGAGACCGATCGTTGGCATGGGAGAGAGGGGGCAGATTGGTGGGGGTAAGTCCATTTTCCCAAATTCGCTTGGAAAAGTGGAAATACCCTTTAAGGGCCTGTTCACACCATATGCAGTGCGTTCTGGCCGGAACGCACTGCATCGCATTGCAGCCGGCTCAGTATTTTGTGGGGCTGGAGGAGGCGTGGCTGGCCATTGAAGTGAATGGCACCGTAGCCACGCCCTCCGGCCACAATGTGATCACCCGCACGGGCTCGCAAGGCACATTATGCCTGCGGCCCGGTCCGTTCCGGTGCGATCAACATAGTGCTTGTAGCATTTTGATCAGACCGGACCGCAGGCACAATGTGCCTTGCCATCCCGTGCGGGCGATCACAAAGCACATTGTGCCTGCGGTCCGCTCCGTTGCGATAAAAATGCTACAAGCACTATGTTGATCGGACCGGCCGCACAAAACGTGGCCGGAACGCACTGCATATAGTGTGAACAGGCCCTAAAGCTTTTCGCCACCATATTACGCTTTATAGGTTTACGCTAAGGAGTTGCCAGAAGATATTTTTACTTGATTGATATTAAGGTATGCCCTTGAACCAGAATACAACTGGTGGAAACAAAGTACTGCTGCATGCTTAGTAATTTGACAAAGTGTCTGGGAATAAACAGAATAGCAAGAATAAGTAGTACTCCAGACAAAACCTTTTTAGTTTGCTGTAGGGACTGGTTATGGTTAGACATTCTGGAGGGTTTAGAAAGGGAAATCTTCCCAATGAGGATGCAGACACACTAAGACCGGGCTCACACCATTTTCCAGACCAGATCTGGAACATTGTGCATTGTGTTTTGTTGCATTTTTACTGCGATTTTGCCACGTTCCGGGGGTTTTTTTGTTGTTGCTTAAACTGGGCTTTCAGGTGCGGTCCAGTGCATTCCCATTTTTTTATGCATTTCCATGTGTTCCAGACCAGAGAAAAGGAGACGATACAGGGCCAACTGATCGGAAGCCGATTAATCGATTATTGAAAAAGTTGACAACTTTTTCAATAATCGATTATAATCGATTATGTCGATTAGTTGTTGCAGCCCTAGAGCAGTATTTTTTTGTCTGGTCCAGGATGGACTGCGCTGGTGTGAACAGAGCCCAGAAATACATTGGGATGCTTTTTTGGTCCGCAAACAAACTGTTCTGGTCTGAACATGATCCAGACATGGTGT